TCTTTATTGTTCAATGTATTACAAATGTCCACTCTTTTTCCCTCATTGGCCCCCTCCAACCCAATCCCGCCTCCCTCCTGCCTTCTTCACACTATTGTCTGTGTCCATTGGTTATGCATATATGCATACAAGTTCTTTGGTTTATCTCTTGCTGACCTCCCTCCCTCCTTCCCTTTGAGGTTCATCAGTCTAACAACCAATTTGTACTTCTTAATTCCTTCATCTTTTTCACCGATTCCCCCAACCTCCTTCCATCTGGCAAGCAACAAAAAGTTCTCTGTATCTATGAGCCTGTTTCTGTTCTGCTTGCTCATTTTGTTTGTAGAATCAATTCTTGATAGACATGTATTTATTGCATTTTATTGTTCATATTTTTGTTCTTCTCCTTCAAGAAGACCCTTCAACATTTCATATAATACTAGTTTGGTGGTGATGAGCTCCTTTATCTTTTTCTTGTCTGAGAAACTTTTTATATGTCCATCAATTCTACATCATAGCTTTGCAGGATAGAGTAATCTTGGTTGTAGGTCATTGTTTTTCATCACTTTGAATATCTCTTGCCACTGCTTTCTGCCCTGCAAAGTTTCTTTTGAGAAGTCAGCTGATAATCTTATGGGAGCTCCTTTGTAGGTAACTAACTAATTTTCTCTTGCTGCTTTTAAGATTTTTATTTATCTTAACCATTTGCGTTTTGATGATGATGTGTTGTGGTGTGGACCTCTTTGGATTAATCTTGTTTGGCACTCTCTGTGCTTCCTGGACTTGTATGTCTGTTTCCTTCACCAAGTTAGGGAAGTTTTCTGTCATTATTTTTTCGAATAGGTTTTCAGTTTCTTGTTCTCTTTCTCTTCTTCTGGCACCCCGATGATGCAAATGTTGGTACGTTGAAGTTGTCCCAGAGACTCCTTACACTATCCTCATTTTATTTGGATTCTTTTTTATTTTTGCTGTTCTGATTGGGTGTGTTATGCTTCTTTATATTCCAAATCAATGGTTTGTTTCTTGGTTTCACCTACTCTACTATTGATTCCCTGTAAATAATTATTATTTAAAAAATATTTTTTATCCTCACCCGAGGACATTTTTCCATTTTTTATTTAGATAGAGTAGGAGGGAAAGAGAGGAAGAGAGAGAGAAACATTGACGTGAAAGGGACACATCGAGTGGCTGCCACCCAAACGACCCCACCAGAGCCGGGGACAAATTACAACCAAAGTACATGCCCTTAGCGGGAACCGAACCCTGGTCTCTCTGGACCGCAGGCCGACGCTCTAACCGCTGAGCCAAACCAGCCAAGGCTTATTATTTTATAAATTTATTTTTGTTACAGATGTTTCTCTTTTTTCCTCCATTGACCTTCTCCTGCCATCCCTCCCTCGCCCCGTCTCCAGCTTTGTTGTCTGTGTCCATTGGTTATGCATACATGCATATAAGTTCTATGATTTATGTCCCCCACTACCACTACCACCTCCTCCTCTTCTGAGGTTTGTCAGTCTGTACCCTACTTTTTTGTCTCTGGGACTATTCTGATCATCAGTTTGTTTAGTTCATTATATTCCACCAATAAGTGAGATCATGTGATATTTGTCTTTCTCTGCTTGGCTTGTTTAGCTTAGCATATTACTCTCTAAGTCCCTCCATGTTGTCTCAAAGGATAAGAGCTCGCTCTTTTTTACTGCTGAATAGTATTCCATTGTGTATATGTACCACACATTTTTATCCACTCATCTACTAATGGACACTTGCGCTGTTTCCAGACCTTAGCTATTATAAATAGTGCTGCTATGAACATAGGGGTACATATATTCTTTCTGATTGGTGTTTCAGGCTTCTTAGGGTCCTGTAAATTATTTTTTATTTCAGTTAGAGCATTCTTCATTTCTGACTGGTCATTTTTTATGTTGTTGTTCTCACTAAGTTCCTTGGAGTTCTCCTTAGTTCCTTGAAGTTCTCACTAAGTTCCTTGAGCATCCTGTGATCAGTGGTTTGAACTCTACATCTGATTGATGGCTTATCTACATTTTGTTTAGTTCTTTTCATGGAGTTTTGTTCTGTTCTTTTATTTAGGACATGTTTCTTTACCTCTTAATTTTGGCTGCTTCCCTATGATTGTTTCTATGTATTAGGTAGAGTTCATATGTTTCCTAGGATTCATTGGATTATTGTAGGTATCCTGTAGGATCCAGTGGCACAGCCTCCCTGATCACCCCAGCTGGGCCCCCAAGGTACACCCCTAGTGTGTACTGTACACCCTTCTGTTGTAATTGAGTCTTGCTTGCTTTTGGCACGTCAATGGGAGGGATTTACTAGACTGTTCAGCTGCAAGGACTGGCTGTGCCCACTGACCACTGGCTTCTGACTACCTTGGAGGATCATCTGTGTAGAGACCCACCACTCAGCAAGACTTAACTTCAGCAGGGCTCTGGTACCCACTGAGTTCAATCCTTCATCATGTCACTTGCGGAGGTGATTGTGTGGTGGTGCTTTGATGTGGTCTGAAGCTGTCCACTGGGTATGCTTGCTCTGGGCAAGGTCAGCAATTGCCTTGTACCCGGGGCCACAAGGCATAAGCTACAAAATGATCTGTATATGGCTGCTGCTTGTGCTGGGCTTGGAGGTGCCCAGGAAAAGCCAAGTTGTGAACCAAGGCTGGCTGCTTCTAGTGCCAGTCTTGGGGCCACTTTACTAGTGGTATGGGGCTTGCTGAGACCAGATGCTGCTTGTTTGAGAGAATTTAAGAAAGTCTGAAGCAGGATCCAAGACAGGGCAATACTGTGGTAAAGCCATTGGAAACAGCTTGTGTGGGCCCGAAAGTTGGATAGGGCAGGGCAAACAGTGTGAGCCAGGTTGCTGGAGTCCCAGATAAGGCAGCTGTCTGCTGCCTTGGGGAAGGGCTCACCAAAGGATCAACGGCTTCTGCCAGCACATCTGTCCCGGAGAAAACTGCCTCTTCAGCTCTCACCCCAATGCCAAACAATTCAGTTCCTTCTCACATATCTGTGGTGCCTTTCAAGCTGCCTTCCTGACGCTGGAGTAGGGAACGAGTAAGTCAGTGTGTGGTCCCTTTAAGAGGAACTGCCTGGGACTCCAGAAGCCTCAGTTCCCACTGGTTTTTACAGCTGAAGTTATGAGGACTTTTTTTCCTCGCACTGAAACCTTGAGCTGGGAGCCTGGTGTCAGACGGGGAGCCCTCACTCCTCAGGGAGGACCTTCAGAACCCAGGTATCCCTCCTGATTTTTATCCACCACATGTGGGTGTGGGACCAGCCCGACTGTACCTCTGCCCCTCTGCCCCTCCTAACAGTCTCGATGTAGCTGCTGCTTTAATTTCATAGTTGTAGGACTTTCATTCATCTCGATTTGAGGCAGTTCTGAATGATAGTTATTTAATATGGTCTAAAATACATTTTGAGCCCACTGGAGTGGCTAGTGGATTGAGTATTGTCTCATGGACTGAGAGGTCCCTGTTCATTCCCGATGTGGGCACATGCCCAGGTTGCAGGCTCGATCCCCAATGTGGGGTGTGCAGGAGACAGCTGACTGATGTTTCTCTCTCATCAATGTTTCACTCTCTCTCTCTCTAAAAAAATCAATAAAAATATATTTTAAAAAACACACTTTTTGAACATTTTTTTAGAGCACAACTTTCTTTCAAAAAGTTTAATATGGGAGATAAATGTAGTTTGTTAAGAGAAAAGAACATGTGCTTTGACTTACATACTTAGATTTAAATCATAGTTCTGCTACTTACTAGCTTTGTAGGATGGGGCAAGGTACTTTATCTCACTGACTCAATTTCCTCAGCTCTAAAAGGATATAGATAAAATGTTGGCATTAAGAAATAGGTAATGTATATAAACAGAGTTAGAGAAGTACATCAAGTGTATAGAGTGAATGGTAACTAATAATACTCCAACATAACTTCCAGGTTGTGGGAAGATAACTGCTCTTGCCATGTTTGAAGGTTAAATAGTTCTCTAACTCTAGTCTGTAGAAGACAATGGAGAAAAAAATCAGACTCAGAGCAAGGAAGTCTGGAAATCAGTTAGTTGTCATATTTTATTCTCTCCTGGGACTTAAGCATTGCCTAAGACGTAAGCATTCCACTCCTAACTTGGTGCAAGAAACACTTGGCAGCTATTAAAGTACTATTCTTTGCAGTTATTTGGTATAATTTGCCACAAAAGTAAATTTTAGGAGGTAATATTCTTTGTTAGATTGTACTCTTGCATGACTGTTATAATGCTGTAGATTTTTGTACCAAGGATGCAGAGGTTCCTCTGAATTCTTTTTTTTCCCTCCAATTTTCATTAATTTATTTTTGTTATAGATGTTTCTCCTCTGAATTTTTGTTCCTATACTCAAGCTCTGTGGTGTTTGATACTTTGCATTTGCCCTTTATTCTCCAGACTTAATAACTAAGTACTATGCCCTGGCCAGTTTGGCTCAGCGGTTAGAGCGTCGGACTGCGGTCCGGAGAGACCCGGGTTCGGTTCCCGCTAAGGGCACGTACTTCGGTTGCAGTTTGTCCCCGGCCCTGGTTGGTCATGCGGGTGGCAGCCACTCGATGTGTCCCTTCATGTCGATGTTTCTCTCTCTCTCTCCCTCCCACTCTATCTGTACAAAAAATGGAAAAATGTCCTCGGGTGAGGATAAAAAAAAAAAAAAAAAAAAAAAATTAACTAAGTACTAAATGGTAATGTTCAAGGAATCATTTACAGGGACAACTGAATATTTGCTTGTCGGTGGTTTATTGACGTAACCTGTGTGCTGAATTCACTGAAATGTGGCATAGTTAAATCTGGCTTCTTCCACTCCTAACTTGGTGTAAGAAACACTTGGCAGCTGTTAAAGTGCTATTCTTTGCAGTTATTTAGTATAATTTGCCACAGAAGTAAATTCCAGGAGGTAATATACTTTTCTAGGTTGTACTCTTGCATGACTGAAGGAGCTCAGGCTAAGGGCCAATGATCTCTAACTTAAGGTAATTCTCTTGGCAGCCGGGAAGATTTCCAGAGGATTCCAGAACTTGCCATCAACCCATTGGGGGACCGGATCATCAATGCCTTCTTTCCAGAGGGGTGAGTCCCTGCAGTTATTGGGCTTCCTTTCTGACATTAATGTGGAATAATGATATTGGTTGGGTCATATCAGACCTCAATTCTCCTGATTATATTAGATAACCCCTAACTTGGTTATATCTAGAATATGTCTTTTCTTCTACTCTCCTCCTGTTTTTAAACTTCAAATAGGTATATGAGCCCATCTTCAAAATTCTGTTTTTATCCCTGTTTATCTTTTTTTTTTCCTTTATTGATTTTAGAGAGAGAGGAAGAGAGAGAAACAACGATGAGAAAGAACATTGATTTGCTGCCTTCTGCATGCCCCCCCACTGTAGATCAGGTCCACAACCTGGACATGTGTCCTGACCAAGAATCAAACCAGCGACCTCTTAGTGCATAGGTTGATGCTCAACCACTGAGCCATACCGGCCAGACTCTGGTTTTTTTAACTATTATTTTTTAATTCTCACCTGTGGGCATGTTTTTGGGGTTTTTGTTTTGTTTTGTTTTGTTTTTAACTTGTTTTGAGAGAGAGAGAGAAACAGAAACATCGATGTGAGAAACATCGATCAGTTTCCTCCTGTATATGCCTCGACGGAGGATCGAACCCCTAACCTTTTTGGTGTATGGGACAACATTCTAACCAACTGAGCCACTCAGCTGGGGCTAATCTCTGTTTATCTTTGATGTAAAACTAAACTTTTTAAAAACTTTACTTGGAAATTATTTCAAACATACAGAAAAGTTGCAAAAATTGAAAACAGTACAAAGGACACCTATATGTCTTTACCAAGACACATCTATTGTTATATTGTTAACATGTTCTCATTTGAATGTGCTTTCTGTCTCTCAGTCCAAGTCAATAAAAATATAATCAAGACACATACATGTAAATTTTTTAGTAGCCATATTTATAAAGAAAAAATAAACAAGTTTAGCAATATATACTTATTTAACCCAATATATTCAAAGTATTATTCAATATATAATCAGTATTTCAAAATTATTACTATATTTTTACATTCTTTTTTCAAATAAACTTGAAATTCAATGTGTAATTTACACTTACATCATCTATTAAATGCTGTAATAATATAAAATATTAGGTATTTTATTTTTTATTTTTAAGCTTTATTGAGATATGATTGACATACAACATTGCATACGTTTAAGGTATACAACATGGTGATTTTATAGATGTAGATGTTGCAGATGATTACCACAATAACATTAGTTAACATATTTATCATCTCACATAGTTAGCTTTTTCATGTGTGGTAGGAACTTTTACAATCTCTCTTAGCAACTTTCAAATATATAGTATAGTGTTCTTAACTATAGTCATCATGCTATACATTGCATCCCCAGAACTTACTCATCTTATAACTGGAAGTTTCACCCATTGACCACTTTCACTCATTTCTCCTATTATCTATTTTATTCTGATATATTATTCATATTCCAATTTTATCAGTTCATCTAATAATTTTCTTATAGCACTTTTCCCTCCTTCAATACAGGATACAGTCTAGGTCAGTTGTCATGTGTCTTTAGCCTTCTTTAATCTGGAACATTTGCACAGCCTTTTTTTTTTTTCCATGACATTGACTAAGGATACAGTCATCTCCACCACACACACATACACGCATACTTTCTCAAATAAATTTGGGTTTGTCTAATGTAAAACTAGGCTTTTGATATGCTTCACTACCTAATACACTGCCTTCAAAGTACTGAGTAAATATGTATTGATTTGATTATGTACCTTTTCATAAATAAAGTTAATCATATAGTCTTGTTTTAAGTAATCTCTTTAATAATCTCTTTCTCTTTCTGGTTCCTTGTGGCTTGTCTGTATGACCCAAAGGACTTTAAGAAGTTATATGGTTGCCAGTTTGTTTGTTTTTTAATCCTCACCTGAGGACATTTTTCCATTTTTTGTTCAGATAGAGTGGGAAGGAGAGAGAGAGAAACATTGACGTGAAAGGAACACATCGAGTGGGCTGCCTCCCGCACGACCCAATCAGGCCGGGGACAAACTGCAACCAAGGTATGTGCCCTTAGCGGGAACCAAACCTGGGTCTCTCTGGACTACAGGCCAATGCTCTAACCGCTGAGCAAAACTGGCCAGGGCTGGTTGCCAGTTCTTAATAATGAGACTAAGTATCAGTGAGGACATTGTCAAATAAAATGGAGAGGAAATTTTAGAACTCTGAATTGAGAGGAAAGGAATTTGCAGGTTGAGAAGTTGGTTACTTAGTAAATCTGAATGACAGTCAGAGGAGGAACATTAACAGCCAGTTTATATGAAGACAGGAATATGAAGGCTGAGACCTGCTCTTTTAGATTCATGTCTGCCATAAGTAATTTCCTACCTTTCCTCGTTTTCCCCCATTTCTCTCCCTGGACTGCTCTGTTTGTTTCAGGTGTAGTTTTTCCACTTTTTCTTTTAGCTCTTTCAGAGCACTGAACCTTCTCCAGAGGGAGCTTTCATAGCTATGCTTCCTAGTCACATCTTTTGCAGTGAAAAGTAAATCCTGTAGAGTCAGTTTGCCAACTTTTTTTCAGAGTTCTGCAGTCACCCTTGATTATTTGAAGAAGCAGCTTTTGGAAAGCCATTTCGTAGGGCCAAACCACCTTTGTTTTGACTACAGTATCACCTGCCATCCTACCCAGGGATCTGCTGATAAGGACAATAGGGAGGTATACATAAGGAAGCTGAGGCCCACACTGTCCTACACTGCTAATCATAGCAAGCTGCACCTCTGCTTCTTGATCTTTCTAATCAGATATAGATATTTAGCTTACAGGTTTTTTTATCCAGTAGTCTTATGCAGGTGGAATTTTTAAAATTATTTTTATTCTTACTCAAGGATATGTTTTGATTTTAGAGAGGAATGAGGTAGAGAGAAAAACATTGGTGTAGTACAGACATTGATCAGTTGCCTCCCATTTTATGCCTCAGCCCAGGATCAAACCTGCAACCTGGGTATGTGTCCTGACTGGGAATTGAACCTGCGACCTTTCATTGTGTAGGGTGTTGCTCCAACCCACAGAGCCACACCGGCCAGAGATTTGAGCCCTGGCTGGTGTGGCTCAGTTGGTTGAGTGTCTTCCCATGCACTGAGGGTTGCCAGTTCAGTTCCCAGTCAGGGGACATACCTGGGTTGTGGGTTTGATCCCCGATTGGTATGCATGTGGGAGGCAACAGATTGATGTTTCTCTCTCACATTGATGTTTCTCTTTATCTCTCCCTCTCTTAAAAAAATCAATTTAAAAAAAACAACAACATTTAAGCCCGGCCATTGTGGCTCATTGGTTGAGTGTTGACTCATTCACCAAAAGGTCACCAGTCCAATCCTGGTCAGGGCACATGCCCAGGTTGTGAGCCCGGTCCCCGGTGGGGGGCATGTAGGAGGCGGCCAGTTGATGTTCTATCTCATCGAAGTTTCTGTCTCTCTTCCTCTCCCTTTCTTTAAAGTCAATAAAGGAAAAACAAAACAAAACAAAGAATGAGATTTGAAAGTGGAACATTGGTAGTTACCTTTTACTCAGACATTATGGCAGTAAAATATGTACTTATTAACCTGTTTATTTTGGCATATAATTCAAGTCTTATTTCACATTACTTGATTCCTCAGATCTTACATTTTTTACAAGATACTACTCCATTAGTAGTATGACTACCTTGAGGAACTAAAGGTCATTCTTTTGAGTACAGAGGGTGTCTAGCTTTGAACTCTACCTTTAGAAGGTCTCTGATCTGTGTGTCTTTCTGGCACTTCAGAGACCCAACATACTGTATCTGATCAATGAGACACACAAAGACTGGGATTTATTCTTAGAGAGCCATAGCAACCAGGTAAATGTTCTTTTTAGGAATGCCTTAGATAAATAACTAAGCCACATGGGACATTCTTTTTTAATATTAAAGAACATTCTTCATTTATTCAATTTTTATAATTATTTCTTAAAGGATTATTGAGTAGCCTGTAACACAATGAAATTATTTTCTCTAAAGTACCAAAAGAGCTTTATACAATGAAAGATCTTATAAAACACTGTGATCATGAAAAATGGGGATCGAGGAGGGGTGTAAATCTATCCAATTATGAGAGATTGATAGAAACATGATACAGATACACAGTTATTATGCAGACATTTAAAATGTTTCAAAGTTTTTATATTGATTGAAAACGTGTAAAGGTTTTAAAAAGTAAGATACAATAAAAACAGACTCATACATACAGGGAACAGGCTGATGGTTGACAGAGGAGAAGGTGGTTCGAGAGCTGGGTGGAAAGGTGAAGGGATTAAGAAGTACAAAATGGAGACTTCCGCCCTGGCTGGTTTGGCTCAGTGGTTAGAGCATCGGCCTGCGGTCTGGAGAGACCCGGGTTCGGTTCCCGCTAAAGGCACGTACCTCGGTTGCAGTTTGTTCCCGGCCCTGGTCGGTCGTGCGGGTGGCAGCCACTCGATGTGTTCCTTTCACATCAATGTTTCTCTCTCTCTCTCTGTTCCTCTCCCTCCCTCCCACTCTATCTGAACAAAAAATGGAAAAATGTCCTCGGGTGAGGATAAAAAACAAAACAAAATGGAGACTTCCGGTCAAGATGGCTGCGTAGGTAAATGCAGTATCACCTCCTCCCACCACCATATCAAAATTGCAACTAAACTACAAAACAACTATCATTTTGAACCAACTGAAATCGAGCTAAATGGAAGTCCTACAATTATGAAATTAAAGAAGAAGCCACATTGAGACTGGTAGGAGGAGTGGAGGCGTGGACGGGCTGGTCCCACACTCACATGTGGTGAATAAAAATCAGGAGGACGCCTCTGCTGTGAATGACCTCTCTGAGGAGTGAGGGGTCCCCGTCCCACACCAGGTGCCCAGCTCAGGGTTCCAGTGCCAGGAAGAGAACTCCCTGTCACTTCTGGCTGTAAAAACCAGTGGGAACTGAGGCTGAGGCTGCTGGCGCCCCAGACAGCTCCTCTTAATGGGCCTATGCATGGAC